GTAAAAGACAACATTGTGAGCATTATGAAACAAAGGACTGTGACGCCAACGACGAAAAGTCGATTTTCCAGGTCTCCGCGTGATTACTGTGCCGCGTGACTATTTTTGCTTTCATGGTTCCACTTCTTGACAACCCCATGCATAAAGCATTCTATGATATCAAAAAATCTGCTAAGCTCAGTTTTCTTACCTGTTTAGACTGTTTTTCGGTTAATAGTACTTCTTTGATGATTTCCTACCTTACTGAGCTATTATTTAAGTTTGACTTAATTTGAAGATTATTGTGCACATCCCGTTAAGAGGTTAACGTTAATATCATATATCCTACATTTTCGTTCTTCTCGTTAACTCCGGACCTACAATCATATTTTCCAGCAGAATTGCTAATCTGAAACAAACGTTCTACAAGACTAGTGCATTTCATGTAGGATTGATTGTCACTATACCGTTAACATGAAAAGAAAAAGATCTTAAAGTACCAAAAAGTTTTAGCTTGTAGGGTTACAAATTAGAAAGTCTTGCTTGGCGTTTTTATTATTTAGCCACTTTTCGTTCTGATCGACGAACAAGTTTTAAATATTGCACAGTAGCATTTGTGTTGCTTGGCTCTTACAGGACGGCTAGGGAATGGGTTTTATTTTGCCTCTTTCTTGCTTTCATGATAAACCGGATAGCCATTTCAGCAGAAATCCTGTGGAGTGACTCGGCTCTGCGACAGAAAGTCATACAGCGGACTCTTCGGTCTTTATATTAAAATCGTCTTCCTCCATTTTACAGTAATACTTTCTAGTTTCTGGCATAAACTTGGGATCTTCTTCAAGCTTGCTACCCTGTACATTGCTATCGACGCCGACTTTTCTACTTTTCCGTAATTTAAGGATTCTCTTAAACTCTATGGCGAAGTCTTCGTCCATATGTGCAATGATCAAAGGCTTTACGCAACAGGAGACATTAACAAGAAGCGTGCACAGCAAGTACACTGAGCGAGGCAGGCATTGTTTGTGAGTAAACACATCAGCTATATCACAAACAGAAGTAGGAACCCAGAAAAGAAGTGTTCCTAGTATTAAAGCCGCAAAAAGCCTTGTTTTGCCTTCTTCTTCTTTCCAAGAATTTATCTTTTCCCTTCGTTCCCCTTGTGCCCAGCGCTCGGCGTTCACGTAGGTTTTCTGCAGATTTGCACCTGCTCTGCAGTAACATGTTGCGATAGCAACGAGTGGTATAACAACGACAATGAGTTTTAATATGGACGCTCGAAGGTAGCTTTCCCTTTTGACTTCCTCTCTGCACACAGCGTAACCAGGGTGTAAAACAAAGTTGTTTCCATCAAAGGTAAATGGCAGAGGGACTGCAAAGGACACAAGCCA